TTTAAGGTATTTTGATGCATTAGGTAATTATTTTGATGCATTAGGTAATTATTTTTTATACTAAATATTTGAGATTTTTTTGAGACACATAAGAGGCTCAATGGATCAAAAAAACACGTGAACTAGTTACTAATTAACTTTTTCCTTTGAATAACATTTATCAAATTTTCTACAAGACATGAGAAGACTAAATATTTATTTACTTAATTGGTAATTGTCACCGCCCATAATCTTTTTATCATCCGTGTTCATATTGAAAAATTGTGAGGGTATTTTTTTTTTTTTATTTGCATATCTTCTACGGACTGTTGGAATTGAAGAAATTTAAAAATATTTTAATCGATTTGTAGGTGCTGAGTGTTGGGTCCGTTTGATTTAAGTGAAATTTTCAATTAAACTGAATTAATCGAATTATTTTTTAATTGATTGAATTTAACTAAATTAAATTGATCGAATTAATTATTGTATTAACTGCCTCAAACCAAATTTGCCGATTGAATTAAATTTGCCAGACTATTTACAATATTTTACTTAAGCCTGATATTTGTTTTCTAGTTTGGTTAATTTGGTTAATACCGTTAAATTAAGCAAACTATGACTAATCACCAAATAACTCCAAATTTGTTTTTGAACCGAAAACCAATCTCCATTTATCAAACTAAATTGAAACGAATTAACTAATTTAATCAAATTAACCGAAACATTTGCACACCTCTTTCAATTGTCATATTTCTTTATGGATAGGATATGCTTACATCTGGTATATAGTATAAGTGGTCTCATGCACGAAGCCAATTCACGAGGAGTACTTAAAAGTATTTTTAATATATATTTTTTTATAAATAGTAAAAAATATCATCATTATAACCAAAAACTTAGTTTTAATGGGTTTATGAACCCTTATATCAGAGCTGTATTCGGTAACAATTTTTTAAATAAGCTTTCAATATTTTGACTGATTAAAACGCTAAACGTTATTTTTATAGTCTTTGGTAAAATAGCTTTTGAACTAACTTTTAAAAGTTATAAAATCTATTATGAAGTGTGTTACACGTTGACTTTACTCATTATATACTCATTTTAATTCATTTAATTTTTTTATTTATATAATATTAAAATACGAATTCTTATTTAGATTATAATATATACAATGATTAATTTATATTGCACTTTATAATTCTTCTTATTTCTATATATCAAAATAACTGATTCTTACTTAATTTTTTTATTTATATAATATTAAAATACGAATTCTTATTTAGATTATAATATATACAATGATTAATTTATATTGCACTTTATTTATGCAATGATTTGTACATCTAATTAAAAAGAAAATGATATTTCTATTTCTCCCTTTAAAATAGAATTTTTTTAACTCTTAAAAATAACACTTTTCATTTATATTACTTTTAAAGCACTGGTCCACTATAATGTGAAAAACATTATATTAATAATTATTATCTAAATTAGGTTTGTGCTATTTTTTTAAGTTATCCAAATTGAGTTAACGGAGTATAAATGTTAGGATATTTTCATCTCTTTAATTTAAATTTGCTTTTGAGTTTGATTTATTTCAAATATCTATTTTAAATATAATAACTAATGTCTAATACTCGTTCCTAATTCTGTGCATTGGACATGAACATAAATATATTGTTTAAATAAATTTTTTTATTAAATTATATTACTATTTATTTTGATTAAAAATAATAAAAATTAATATGTATTTTTACTCATTTAAAATTAACGATAAAAGTATTTTTCTTCCATTTTTACTCATTTAAAATTAACGATAAAAGTATTTTTCTTCCTTTTAATTAATATACTTTATAAAATAAAAAAATAAAAGGACTACTATTTCAAAAAGAGTGATAAAATCAAAATAGTTAAAAAAAAAATAGTATTTTTACTCGTTAAACTTAAAATATATTTAAAGGTAACTAAAATTTTTTCAATATCTAATTTTATATTTAACATTCAACTACCTTTATTCCAATTGTTTCAAGATTTTTTCTTTATTAAAAAAGGCTTCAAAATAACATAAATAAATGTTAATATGTAACTTAAAAATCAATGGACAAACAATAACAACAGTAATGGAAGATCCTCCTTAAGTTTATAGATAGATATATATGAGGTTAAATTCAAAAATTTCAAAGTTCTATATATTTATTTGAAAAATTAAAATATCAAAGGTCTTGAATTTGATAAATTTTTAAAAAATAGAATGAACAGAGAGCTCTTAAATTTTTTCATCATTTCATCTTTAATATAGAAAATTTGAAAATGAAAAAGATAAACAAAGATGCCCAAATAGCCATTTTTAAATTATTTCAAACTTTTATAGCGTATTTTAATAAGATTTCATTAGATTAAAAAAGGAAAAACTTTTTATATGATATTAGTCAAATGCAATAATGTGTAAATAGTCCAAATAAGTATACATCATCAATAGTCCAAATAAGTATACATCATCATCTCAAAAAAAAATCAAAGAGAAAGAATATATTTAAAAATTTTTATTTTAATTTCATTGTATTTAACTAATAGAGTGTAATAGTAAAGTGTTTACCCATATTTTAAAAATTCAGAACATAATTAATTAAAAAACTCAAATTTCATTTTCAATACTTGAATTAAGGTTTTCGATTTACCTTCTAGAAAGTAATATTATATGAGAACCTATAATTAAAAATAAAAATTATTGGACAATAATAATGCAAGATCAAATAGAGAAAATACATACACATATTTTTTCCAATTAAAATGCATAAAAAATATAAATAAAAGGATATTCAAAAGGATAAATGAAATCTATTTTCTCCAATTAAACGACAATAAAAGCATAAATGGTTTCTCCAATTAAAATGCATAAAAAAAATCTAAAAAATGAATATATTAAAAATTTTAAAATAATCTAATATTATTATAGAAAATCTCATTATTCCTATATTCTCATATTTCTATATAGTATAGAAGGTATCATTTTATAAAAAGTTAACACATGTAACTTTTAACTTTTAGCGTTTCATAAAAAACTACTAAAATAACTAGCAATTATCAAAACATCTAATTTTGTCAAACAGATCGAGGAGTAGTTAATTATTCCCTTTCTTATTTGGTTGAGAAAAAAAAAACCATAACGTTTATAATTAATAAATTCTATCATGGCTTAATTTTATAATTTTTTATTAATAATGAATTTAAATCATTTAATTTTTATTCCCAGTATTTTTAGATCCATAAATTTTGTTTTCTAACTAATGGACATATTTGAGATTCCATGAATTTGTAATCCACAAAATTTTGCCAAAAAAATTCATTTCATGTTTCATCAATCCAAACAACATAGTAGCTAGATTAATAATCATTCCATCCATCTTTTGGAGTGATAAGCGACCTCAATTTCCGTAAAGGTGAGAACATAAATTTACTTTTCAGAAAGCGGTTTTTGGAGTGATAAGCGACCTCAATTTTCATAAATGTGAGAATATAAATTTGCTTTTCGGAAAGCCGTTTTTGCTGGGAAGCCAAAAAATTTTTATGTTCTATGGACCGAAGGAAATTATACCTCTTGCTTAAACAAAAAATTTCATCCCATCCCATAACTACATGCTTATTTTTCTTTTTTATTTTTTGAAATCATATACCACTTCTTTCTAAAAGTACAATTTTATACTATGAACCATGTTGGGATGGATGACTTAATGCTCTTCTCATTTAAGTGAGATCAAGGGTTTGATTCAAGAGTTTGATAATCATGAATGAAGCAAATGCACACTTGAAATGCTTTATCCTCTAGTGAGCCGACCTTATTCTTAATAGTCCGACTTGACGCAAGCAAAAACTAATGTTGAATGATTAAGATACATATCCAGTGAATACTTGTTTGGTTAATACCAAAAAAAGAATACAATTCTCCTACTGTTTGACAATACTAGCTGTTCTAGTAACTATTAGCTGTTTTAATAGTTATTAACTGTTTTAGTAGTTGTTAGTTGGTAGATATTAGCGGCTAGCTGTTAGTTGTTTAAATAGTGGTTGAAAGCGAAAATGTTCGATAAAAACAGTTATTTGATTGACAATAAAATTAAAATGATAAAAAGGACATTGAAATATTCATTTAGAATTTTCAATTAAATTTATTACAAAAAAATTATTTCACTATATCTAAATTTTCAAAATTTAAGGCAGCAAAAGTTGAAAAGTTCACTATTTTATAAATAAAATGGGAAATTTTTAATATTGTTCACTATTTTTATAATTAAAAATGGGAAATTTTTGAAATTTTTAATATTTTAGGGGATCAACATGTTTAATTTTTAATATTTGTTTGAGTTTAAATACAATATATAAATAATATTTTTTTTCTTTTACTATCAAATATAAATAAGCCAACTTAAAGATAATAAAACATGTAATGTGATAACATAAGGATTTTATATTAATTAAGGATAAGGATAAGGATAAGGTTGTAAAAAACATTTAATAAAAAGAGTGAAACACTAAACGTTAGATAAGAAAACATTTTAGAAAATTCTCCATAAACCTCTTAAAGCTACTTTGTATATCAAGTTAAACACTCTATAAACCTCTCAAAACTACTTTGTATATCAAGTTAACGAACATAGTAATTTAGAGAAATATTATTTTGATTAGTTCAAACACTAAATGCTGCCCTAAATGCTACTGCAGAATACACCATAAATAATTTTCTTAATCCGTGTGACAAGAAAAAAAGCTTAAATTTGTGGGGCGGATCAAGTAGAAATTAGTGAAATGGACTTGATAAGTGTGAAAATTACAAGATGATATCGTATTTCTACAAAGAAAATAAAATAGTAAAAATTTTAAAATAAAACATTTGACCCAACATCTCATTGGATCCCATTTTCTCAAAACAATATTATGGAATAGAATAAAATGGAACCAACACCAAAAGTTGTAAATTTAACATGTCCTCTCTCTCTCTCTCTTTCTCTCTCATTCATTTATATATTTCCAACGAAACCACGTCAAACACACCCACACACACACTCTCTCTCTCTCTCTCTCTCTCTGAACCGCCAAAAAACCAAACTCTTTTCGGTTTCTTTACTAAAATCCAACTAACCAAACCATTAGACATGAATGCTTTTGATCCTCAACGGAGACAAGATAAAACCTTTAAAAAGAGATCATTATCATCACCATCACCGTCACCATCGAGATTATTACTTTCAAACGCAACCCCTAAACCACCTTCTTCTCTTCCTCTCATGGCTAATTACTCTAGATCATTTCCCTGTCTGGATGATGACGATCTTGTCTCCGCCGTGGTTCCTCCGGTCACTGTTGTTTTGGAAGGACGGTCAATTTGCCACCGCATCAGCCTCCACAAGCATGCAAGCTACAATAGTCTTGCTATGGCTCTCCGGCAAATGTTTGTCGATGGCACTGGTGGTGACATGGCGGCGGAGATAGCAGATAATCTTGATTTAACAAATGCTGTTCCTGGTCATCTTGTTGCTTATGAAGATATGGAAAATGATCTCCTTCTCGCCGGTGACCTTAACTGGAAGTACGTAATTACTTCTTTTATTATTTTTTTACTGTGACTATATTACTAGCTTATACACATTCAGGTTATGTCTTATGTTTGAATTTTTGTACAACATTGTTTTTATATAACATATAATATATCTATAAAAGGAAAGTATGTTACATTTTCTTAAATTTATTTTTGAATATATATATTATATGTCAATGTTTTATAGGAAAGTACTTCATTGGAGAATATCCATTTCTTTTACATCTTCGGTTATCACCTCATGTTATTTATGGGTTTTGAATCAAAATCGAATAATATATTTTAAAATTTTAAAATATTTTTTTAAAATTTATAACTATTTTTTTAAAATTTATAACTTAGAATAAATGAAATAATAATATAAATAATAAATATTATTATTAAAAAAATTAAATCAATTTAATAAAAGTTCTTAAATTTACTTTATAAACTGTAATAAAACAAAAAAGTAAGTTAGAAATTTCTTTTGAAGAACATGTTTTTCACAGTTTTAAGTCGAAATTACCGATTTTTAACCAAAACCGCCTGTTTCAAATTAAAACCGTCCGTTTTGATCTCAAAAAATTAAAAACTCTTACCGAACTTTAAGTTCAAGGTTTCGGTTAGAGTTTTAGAAACAGAAATCACTAGTGGTCATTCCTACATCATCACTGGTGGTCATCACGGTATCGGTTTTGACTGGTTCAGTTTCGACTGAACTGTGTCATCCCTACATCTTGCTAGAAATCACTGGTTTATTACTGTTTTGTCCTTTTTTATTATTTTTAGTGCTATAAAGATAACTTTGTTTAAGGATTTTTTTAGTATAAAAACTTCTAGATTTATTGACAGATTTTATTGACAAATTTAAAGTAAAAAAAAATGCACATATCTTTATTTGTGTCAATTATTATTATTAGCTTGGTTATTTATGTGGTTGAGTTTTTTTTTTTAAAAAAAAACTCATATTTCTAATTGTTTTTTTTTTTTGAAAATGGGTAGTTATATTAATTACTATCATTGTATTTGCTAAATGGGTACACTTATGCAGATCTGATTAGACTACCAAATCAATTAAAATAACAATTTTTTCAAAATTTTTTTAATTTATTATTATTATTTATATATGATCAGAAATGTTCTATTTTAATAAAATTTTTTTTTTTTATTGATTTTGTCTATCATTGTGCCCATACAACTGGTGTAGGAAAATCAATCCAAAGTCTTTAGCGATTTAGTACATGCTTTGTCCGTGCTAAATTATAGTTCCTTATGTGTAACTTCTGTTTGTATATATAAATCAGTTCTGAGTTTTATTTAAAAATAAATAAAAAAATTTACCGCCCGTTGTATTGTGATTAGGGATTTTGTACGAGTGGCGAAGAGGATTAGAATATTGCCGGTTAAGGGGAATCCAAGGAAGAGATGAGGAAGAGAGGCATGGATGGCAAGTGTTTTTGCTGTTTACGTGGAAAATCTTGTATCAGAGGAAATTAAACTTTGTTTTTACTAATACTTAAAAAAATATTTTTAACTATGATTATTAATTTTCTGATTAAAAATGTCCATCCAACTTTACCGTACGTATACATCAAGATATATACTGTCTGTTAATAGATCCAATTCAAATTCCCACCTCAAATACTAAAAAAAAAAAAAAAAAAAAAAAAAAAAAAAAAAAAAAAAAAAAAAAAAAAACTTTGTCCTAGGTTAGAAGTAGTTTTCAACTTAAACTTTATATCTAAAATGGTATTTCAGTTCGAATTTTTAAACATGCAGTTCATAACAGTTTGTTAGTTATGATCTTTTAATTTACAATACAAAAATCATTGAATTAATTAATTAACCATTTACAATTAAAATACAATAAAACTACTGTTTGAGTGTTATAAACATTATTTTTCAGAGTAGTTTTTGACTTTTTCACAAAATTTAAAAAAAAAATGATTGAATTATATTGATCCTAAAAAAAACATGAGGATAATTGACTAAATTACTCTTTAATTAATAATCATTTATTTGAGATAAAGTTTAATTGAAATATCTAAACAAGAGTAAAGTTGCAATAAAATAATTAATGCTACTTTGATTTTTTAAAAGAGTCATTTAATTGGATACAAAAAGTTAAAAACTGTACTCCCTGTCCCGAAATATAAATCGTTTAAATTTATTGTACAAGGATTAAGGAAGTAATTAATTCTCCTAAATCATACTCCATTTGTACCAAAATATAAGTCATTTTTTGTTTGTTATTTTATCCTAAAATATAAGTCGTTTTGTGTATTTCAAAAAGTAATAAATGACGTTTTTCTAATATTGCTCTCGTTTATGCTAAATATAATAAATACTTTATAAGCAATTATTGGTTTTGAGATAAAATATAATTTGGTCAAATTATCCTTGAGTTTGTTACAATTTAGGAGAATTAATTGCTTCTTTAATCATTGTGCAAAAACTTTAAACGACTAGTATTTTGGGACAGAGGAAGTAACAAACTCAAGGGTAATTTGACCAAATTATACTCTATCTAAAAACCAATGTTGCTTCTGAGGTATTTATTATATTTAGTGTAAACAAGGGCAATATTGCAAAAATATCATTTATTACTTTTTAAAATATATCAAACGACTTATATTCTGAGACAAAATAATAAATAAAAAATGATTATATTTTGGGACAAAAAATATCATTTATTACTTTTTAAAATATATCAAACGACTTATATTCTGAGACAAAATAATAAATAAAAAATGATTATATTTTGGGACAAAGCCAGTAAAATTTATCAAAACGGACAAAGTAATAAATAGCTTCTCTAATTTGTTTACTCGTTATTCAATCTCTTTTTGTTTATTTTTTCTCTTATAGAACGATATTTTATTCATAAAATAAACAAAATTTCCATTAAATCATATTGTTCTGCATGTTAGAACTTTATGATAATTAATTTACCCACTATAAGAGTGACTTTTGTTGTAATGAGTGATTAAATTTAATGATTTTTATGTTATAAATAAATAAAAAAATATTAGCCATAAAATATAGGCTAATTTTTATACTTGGATCCTTAAATTAACTCTTAAATACTTTATCATTCTTAAATTTTAATTTATGAATTAAAGATAACTCACCATCAATTTTTCCATAACAACAGCACTTCTATTAAATTCTCAAATAAAATTTTATACAGTGAATATAAACAACAGTTTTTATTCTTATTTTTTATTACAATAAAGCTATTTAGCACAGTTTGTGCTATATCAAGAGGGGCTTTTTTGAATTTTTACTATTTATATTTATCTTTTTTAGTTTTCAATTGATTAAATGCTATAGTGTAAAGGCGGAATTATCCTTTATTATGAGGGAAAATTTTTCGTAATTAAATTTCAAATTTAAGTTATTTGTTGATTCTTGAGTAAAATTTATTGCATTTAATTAGTTCCAATGCATATTACTTTTAGTTCCAATGACCATTTATTAAAGAATTAATTACTGACTAAATGTTTAATTAGTATTTCAATTGGCTTAGAAACAAGGAGATTACAAAAAAAAAAAAAATGTAACATTAAAAATTAGGAGATTAACCAAAAACAAAAAAAATGTCAACATTTAACAAACTCTTCAATGTATTTGAAGATAATATCATGACTCCTTAATAACTTTAAAGACAATTATATAGTTCTTATATATCTATGATTTATACTTTAAAGAATTATATAGTTCTTATATATTCTTAACTATGATTTATATTTATAAAAAAATAATATGTATTGGCTATGAAACTACAAATAAAATGTACGAATTTAATAAAAAAAAAACCTTTAAGATTATTTATGTTATGGATTTTTATTTAATTCAATTAGAGAAGTATATTTAATTCCATTACGTACGTAAATATCTTAATTTTCAACCATATTACTCATATATGATTTATGTATTATTTTCTTTAGACAAATTAATAATTTCTCTTCGATTCATATAATATTATAATATGTTTATTATAATCCAAGAAAATATAGATCATTTTAATCAAAAAATTTATTTTTTTATTTAATCTAATTATAATCACAAAAACTTTGTAACTAATCAAACTCGAAACATGAAGAAAATACTAACTAATTCAATTAAATATATTGGTGTTTAATGGATTACTCTTGTAAATAATTTGCACTTATTTAAATTATAATATTATATTAAATTATTTAATTATTATGTTCAATTTGATTATTTTTATTAATTTTTTAATTTTATTACAGATATTACAGATTTATATTCATTCAAACTAGCATTTTTAGAGATTTAGATTGAAAGTTCTAATAATTATATCATTAAAGATTTCTACTTAATATATATACATATATAAAAGCATAAAGGAAAATTAGCTTTGATCCGATAAATATTTAAAAAGACACCTCTTCGGATATCCAACGGAGGTTTCATAAACACTTCTTCAGATAAGTCCCCAATTAAAAAGACATTTTTAATATCCATCTAATAGAGAGACCGTTTTCGGGGTAAGACAACAGAAATAAGAGCTCGTACAATAGGAAGGCGAGCAACATGAGCAAAAGTCGCCTCATAATCAATTTCATATTCTTATGTGTATCATTTTGCAACCAAGCATGCTTTATACCGTTCAATACTCCCGTCGACAAGAGTCTTAATCTTGTACGCTCATTACAAACTACAATAGATTTACCTCGAGGCAAATCAACTAAGTCCCAAGTGCTAGTTTCAATAAGTGTTTCTAATTCTTTTCATAGCTTTCTACCAAAGAAGGTCAATGGAGGCTTCTTTAAAGGTGGTAGATCATAAAAGATTGCAAGAGCAAAATAACAATGATAATGATTAAAATGGACATTAAATTTGACTACTCTAGAAGAATTACAACACCATGTTCAATGGCTGTGGAAGGCGTGAATGTTTAGAGGGGAAGAGCCGAAGCATGCAAAAAGAAAAAAAAAATTGACTAGAAAAATTCTGATATCATGTTCAATGAAAAGGAATTTGTATTATATTGCAGGGTGATTTACATTATATAGGTGTACAAGAAAAAAAATGATCATATAATTAGATATATTACAGATACACTAAAATCATAATCAAATACACAAGGATCAGATTTAGATATATCACTTAGGATTTTATCCTATCAGTCTTGAGTTTATGTACTTCTCACTGCCGAGTGAATTCTCCAAGAAGTGATCGTGTCCTTGTGTTTAGTTGGAAGAGACAAACAATGTCAATATATTATTAAACGTTATCGCAATATTCATTGCACGAAATAAAATAGAAAATAGAAAGTAAATTCTATAAGAATTAATATGTTTACAAAATAGAAAATATCTGGTAGTAAATTCTATAAGAATTAATATATGATAGTAAGATATTTGAAAATTTTTAAATTTTTTACTTTTTGAAGTTATTTTTAAATATTTTATTATTTGACTGTGATTTAAAAAATTTTATTTTAGGATAGGGATAAAGAAAAAAACATTATTTTATTTTAATATTTACTTTTTTTAAATTTGTATGATATGATTGGACATATTGTTTTTACTTGGCTTTTAGTTTTTTTTTTTTTTTTTTTTTTTTTTTTATTTTAGGATTAGGGATAAAGAAAAAAACATTTATTCGTTATTTTATATTTACTCTTTTTTAAATTTGTATGATATGATGGACATCTTGGTTTTTACTTTGGCTTTCTTAGTTTTTTTTTTTTCTTTCTTTTTTTTTATCCTACTCAAAATGAATTTCTTTTTTTTTTTTTTTTTTTTTTTTTATCTATCAAAATGAAATTTCATTAAATGGCCTTTTCAGTTGAAGAATGAACTAATTTTTAAGATTCAGATAGTAATTTTTTAAAAATAATTTGTTTTTTATTATATATTGAGTTCTAAAAATAATTTTTTATTTTTTATTTTCTTTTTTATTAATGAATCAGTTTAACTGAAAAAATATAGAATTATATATTTATATTTTGAATCACTTTTTGTTTCAAGAATCTGTGTATATGAATATGTGCATTTTTTTAACGCACCAAGTAATTAATATTATCATTATAGTTAAAGTTATTACCACTAGGATTCTAGTTCGTGTTATTTTTAAACAATTCAAATCACTTTTCATTTCATTTCTTTTACCTAGCAGTAAGAAATATATTTTTTACTTTTTCATCGTGTTGGAGATTCAATGATAGCTTGATTTACTTTTTGGACATCTATTAAAGTTTTAAAAATTTGCATATATAAATTAGGGGCTGAAATTAGGTTTAGGAGTTGGATTAAATTTTATTTTGAAACCACTTCATTGTATAAAATAGAAGAATTAAGTACATAGAATTAGAATTATAAGTAGTTTTTAAGGTAAAGTGTAATGTAAATAACATTGTATTTATTTTATCTAAATAAAACTTATACTTTAATATTATATAAATAAAAAAATTAAACGAGTCCAAAGAACAAATTTAGTAAATGAAACACACGTCATAAAAAGGCTAGTATTAGCAAATTTCAAGAATGAGACTATATTATTAGTGATATAAGAATTGTTTTAGAACAAATTAAATTATTTATGCAAGTGG